GTTGGAAAGGTGGAACAGCCAGGCCTCCCTCTCTCGCCTCTAAGTCCCTATTGCTCCGGGAGGACCTGCTCCTCAGCCACTGGCCTCCTCAGCCTTCAAGGCCATAGGGCCTGCCCTACTGCAAGTCCTCGTGCAGTGTCTGAGTAGACTTTCGTTCTCAGCAGAGCCCCTCTCAGCTTGGTCTTCCAGCTCCTATCTAGTCAGAGGGGTATGAGGGGTTCCAAAGGATCTGCTAGTGCCAAATGCTAGAGAACCCCCACTTTCTTACTCAAGAATATCTCCTCTTCTGGGAATCTACCCAAGGAAGTAATCCTCAAATGCAAACTTTGATACAGAAAGATCTTCCCATTGCATCACTGTCTATAATAAATAATTGGCAATAACCTAAATGTGCAATAATAGAGGATTGAATAAATAAATCATAGCATGTCCACCAAATTCACAAGCTGTAGGACTATACAGTTATTAGCAATGTTGTTTTGAAGACAAGGAAACCATACCCACAACCATATGTTCAAAATGGAATTATGTTGAAAGGGTGAGGGGGCAGGTATTATAACAATGTAAATGTAATTACGGATTTGGACTGTACATTTAAAATGGTTAAGATGGTAAATTTTATGTGAGGTGTATTTTTCCATGATTAAAAATAAATTTTAAAATGCAAGAAAATTAGCTTGTACCTATGTTAAGAATCTTAGAGAAACACAGCAAAATATTACCAGCTATCTCTGTGTGATGAAACTACTAAGGCTGTTTTATTCCTGTTTTTTTCTTCTTCTATTTTTCCACTTTCCTTTTAGGATCTTATATTTTTTGCTTTTAAGGTATGTTCATAGCTTTAAGTGTCCAGAACAGAACAGGTACCCAATGAACATCAACCTCTCCTGATTTTCCATGAAGTCTTGGGGCCACTATTGGCAGGTCCTGAGGTAATGGACAGGCAGCTTTAGGACAGGTCAAAAATGGGATCCTTCTCTGTAGTCTCCTAAATGAGGAACCTCAGAATCTCAAAACTGGGAAGGGGAAGAAGCTACATCAGCTGAGTGGACACATGGGGGAGGGGTGGGCCCAGCCTCAGTCCCATGTGCTTCCCTTGTAATTCATGCCCCCACCTAGGGAGTAGTACTTTCATCTGTCCTCTGTCTCTTGGGGTTCTCGGACCCTCCATGCTTGACACAGAGCTTTCCAGATGAAGCTGGACACCAGCTTAAAAGAGGGGAGGTGTGACCACAAAGCAGAAGGAAAATTTCAGGCCTATTCTCAGTCCCCCGTGGTGGCTTCTCACTAAAGGTGGGTCACAGTGGTGGTGAGAGGTCACTGTAGTAACTCTGGCCTAGCCTCCTCAGGTCCTTATTTTTCCTTTTAATAACCCCAAAAGTGGTAGGATGTAGATATCAATAAAACCTGGTCCAGGACTAGAGCTTTTCTCTTAAAACAATATCCAGTGACTTTTTTTGCAAAGACCATTAGATATATAGGTCTGGGAGAGAGTGAGACAGTGGGAGGGATAAACATATCTCAGAGCCCTGCTCCACTTGGTACACAAGGTCTGGCCCAGTTATCAGGGAACCTGAGTTTCCAGCACTGGATGTGACTTCCTTGAGGGCAAGATGGTCTCATTCATCTGATTGGATGTAGGGGTGAGGCTGAGCAGTATAGTTTAAACCACATAGTCTAGAACCCTGCTTAACAAATATTTGTAAATATAACTAAAGTGAAATGGAGGAGAAAATAGGTTCAGGAAGGCAGGTGGGACCATGTAGATATTCACTGTTCATTCATTTATTCTACAAACATTGACTGAGTATATACCCCACTTGTCAGCCCTGTGCTGAGGATGCAGACAGATGTTTCTTGCAATGCAGTTTGGTTGTCTGCTGGAGCACAGCCACTGGAGAGGAGAGCTGTGTGTATGGGAGGGGTGAGGGGAAGCATCCTGTCTTCTCTAGGCTTCTGTGCCCCTCTGACTTGGTGCTGAGGCAGGTTATTGGAGATCTAAGGCCTTCTCAGCTTGGGCATCTGTATTCTCAGCCTCAGCTTTGTTTCACTGACAGACCCTGCTCTGAGGCTCAGCTACAAACTTCGTGCAAAGCCATGATGCTCTTTATCCTGGTGTGTGTTTAATATATATCAAATTATCCCTTCCCTTCCTACATGGCTAGCCCTACTCTCACCTCATTCCCACAGCAGCCTGCATCTGAATGCTCTGCCACAGATAAAAGAAGGCTATAAATACTGTGTGGCAACACTGATAACTTTGCAAATACAGGCCCACTGAGGGATAGAACTTTTCTACTCCTATGCTGAATGTTTCCACCACTTATGAGCCATTCTGTTTGCTTTTTATACTTTTTTTTGGTCTCCTCTCTTGATATCAGGCTACCAGATATTTGTGAAACTATCTCTAAAAGTTCAGGTCCACCAATATTTATCAATCACCAATATATATCAGGTTCCATGGAGAACCCTACTAATTGCTACATATATTGGTTTAAAAAAATCACATGACTGATCTTGTAAAAATTATGGGTAAAATCAGAGTTCATAGGCCCTACCTAAAAGCTATGGGCCATCTAGTATAAGTAAAGTGTATGGGCTTTAGTTTAAGCTCTTAGCTCCTTAAAAATGACTTTTGTTTCTCTCCTTACTATTAGCTAGTGCCAGAAACAGGGCTGGTGACACCTGTGTTCTAGAAAGTTGAGATTGCCAGATAATTAAAGTACTGTGGTGTTGGAAATGATTTTTCTAGGGCTTCCTACCACTATTAAAGACTAGTCATTTTTAGTATGCTGCCAAGCTGCAGGGTTTAATGGTATTGCCTTGGGCTGGGGTTGGGGAAAATAGTAGAGGGGGCAGGCTGTGCTCTATCCCTAGCATCCCATGGCAGTTAGATCAGTATGCCTTTTGTGTTTTACAGATTTATGTATAAATGGAGCTTCAAAATACTTCTATAAACCTTGTCTTACCTCCCTACTTCTCTGAGAGGTAGGAAGGACAGCATTTTTTTGTCCATTTCACCAATGGGGCCCCAAAATTTAGTGATCTGCCATGTTGATAGAGAATAATGAAGCACCCTGGGTGAAAACCCAGGCACTGGAGCCAGCCTGTTGGGTTCAATCCAAGCGTTGTGATCTTGGGCAAGTTACTTAAGCTCTCTTAATTTTCCCACCAAAATGTGGAAAACAAAAAACTACTTCATTTGTTTAAAAGAGTGAATTGACACATGTTTCTGTGAGTGTTAGATGTCCTCATGGTCTGAGGGTCAGGGAGTGGTGCTAGAATTCAAAGCCCTGGGAACAATGGGGATGACAGTGAACTTTTGAGGCATTTGCCAGGGTCAGTCAGTATGACAGGCTTCCACAAATCACTTCCCAGATGTGGCCTTCCCCAGAGAAGCTGTACCCCAAGTCAGGCCCAGGGAGCCAGCAGTAGAGGACAGGAGGCACCTGGAGCCCATGAAGCTCACAGTGGCTCAGAGGTGGGGCAAGTGCAGAGTGTGGCAGGATACGGCTCAGGAAGCTGCTTTCTTGCTGCTGATTCTGTTGCTGCTACTACTGCCACACCCTGCTTCCTCATACACTATCTCTTACTGCCCAGATCTCCTTACCCCCAGCTCTGCCCTAGGGAAGGTGGGCCCAGGCACTCTGGTGTGGGATAGATGTCCTGGAGGGAAAACAATCAGGGTATCCTGGCCACAGAGCAACCTGGGTTTTCAGGCCTTACCCTTTTCCCCAACCTTATACTCCAAGTCAGAGCAATGATGTGGTGACTCACCACTCCCTGCCTCCCTCACTGTAGCCACCTATCCATCCCCTTTTGTAATCTCCAGCTGCCAACCTGGTGGTGGGATTGGCTAAGCCAGGTCTGTCTCCATTGACTTCTCTGGGTTGGTCCCACTCCTTCTTTGTAGAGATGGGGAAACAGAGGTCCAGAGAGGCACAGAGTGCCCCACCCAGGCAGCCCTCTAGCCACTGTGTGGTCAGAGTAGGCACGAAACAGGTCACTCACATGCTGGTCACAGGTCCCAGAAAAGGACCCAGGGAGGAGAGGCTGTTGACTGAGGCAAAGGGCCATGGAGTCCTCTATGGGGCTGAAAGGGGGGCTCTTGGGACAATCACATTCCTCAGCTCTAACCACAGAGGTCTCAGCTTTCCCCCTTGAGCACTGGAGACAGCCCGAAGTCCAGGAGCAGAGGAGAAAGCTGAAAACAGCCAGAAAAGTCAGAGGGGATTTGAAGCCCAAACTGGGCTTGCAGGCTGTGTGGCCTAGGCCAAGCCACCAGCCGGGTGCCATTCTCTCATGGAAGAAAAGATTTGATTTACCTCTGCACTGAATCTAAGAAAGTGAGCAAGGAATTGATCAGCCCTCCTGCCTCTTCAAAGGGTCCCTAAGGACTTCAAGGAAGGGGGTTTGGATGAGGGAAGAGAATTACTATTTGAATGCCAGCAATGTACTAGAGACTTTGTTACATTTGATTACCATGTTTAATCCTCCCAGTAGACTGGTATATTTATTAATATTAACCTCCACTACGTAGGTAGGGAAAATGAGGCTTAGAGAAGTAAAATAACTTATCTAGCCCTTAAATAGCAGAGTCAATATCCCAATTTGTTTGGTCCCCAAACCTGTGACCCATTCCCTTCTTTTCTTCATTTGGCCTCCTCAAATTCCCACCCACATATTGGACTCTCTTCTCAAAAAATTCTGCTTTGGGGAGAGGGTCACTTGGAGGAGAAACCAGTCCTGGGTACAGGGGATATCTCTCACCCACTGTCTTGAAGCTTGCAAAGAAATCATACCCCAGGCTGAGGACCCCCTTTATCTTACAACTTAGAAGGGACAGTGGCCCAGGTTACCTTCACAAATACAAAATACAACCACTATTTTTATGAGAAAATCTCTCTCTTCCCTTGACCACATCCCAATCAACTACCTTGGGGAAATTTCAGCCAATCTTCCCATTCTACTTGTTTAACTCCCTGACAGTCTTCACTCACCCAAAAGGCATCTCTGAATTGAAGCTGGGGCATCATCCTCAGGCTGCCACGACAAAGATTTCTCTCCTCCCACAGACAGGGCTGAATGAGATCCAGGAACCAGGCACACTGTCCCAGTCCTGACAGTGTTGACCCAGTCTTCCCCGACTTGGCTGATGCTGTCTGCAACACCTCAGAAGACACCCGAAAGCTAGAGATGAGCTGCCAGAGGGAGTAAAAGAGCTCAGTCTATTTTGTTTGGGGCTAGAATCAGCAGCAAAATGAGGAAGGAGCAGTGCCCAGTGATGTGAGGGCGGGTTCTGGTTTCCGGCCCAACCCCTTGCCAGCCCCATGGTGATGGAGGACACAGTCCAGGCTGCAGGACTTAGCAGGGATGCCAGCCCCAGGTAAGAGGCAGTGGCCAGAGGGAGAGGCAAGTAGGTACATAGGCTAGGTGGGCAGGCAGTCTGTGCAGAAAGGTTTGTGCAATCTCCTGTTAGGTGCAGGCATCAGGCCCCTCACCCACAGGAAGTAGAGCTGCTGTGCTCCTGTGTGCAGCTTCGCCTGCCACTTGCCTCCCTCCTGTTATCCTCCACTTGCCGCCTTCTGATGTCCTAGTTGAGCCATTCTCAGAGGCCATAAACTTAGGGAGCCTGAAGTCACAGAAGGTGAGGGAAAGGAGGGGTCAGGAATCAGGGGTGCTGTTGCCCACCATCCCAGCCTTACTCCAGACCAGGTACATAAATGCTAGACTCTCCATCCCTTACCAGCTAACCATTTGGGGGAAGAGGGCTTCCCTAGGACTAGCACATCACTATCATTCACCAAATCCTGGCTACATGGTGTCCCAATTCATATCCTACCCTCAAGGAGTCTGGGGGCAAATGCAACTGCATTCTAGTGGACCGGCTATAGGGACACCAAGGTGGGGTGAGTGGGTAACTAGCCAATGGAGAACAGCTTGAGGCTTTACGGACACTGACCTTCTGCCCCCCAAATCTCCAGATTAGACACTTTCTGGGGCAGGAAACCCCTCTAAAGATGTCTTCAGGCCAGAAGAATGTAGTTGAAACAAGAGAGACAGCATTATAAAGGTACAGATGTTGGAGTTCAAAAACTCAGATTGAGGCCCACTTTCTTTTTTGTCTGGGCCCTACCCTTCAGTGGTTGAGGAAACTTAATTGACCCTCTAACATCTGCCACCCTCAATTTTTGGAAGGGAGAAGGTGTTGAGACCATTACTGCAGTTTCTGCTTTGGCTGGACATGTGCTGTGGCACTGTCAGATACCACCTTGAGAAGAGCCCTGGGCTGGAACCCCAGACACAGCCTGAGGAGCTATGGCTTGCCCACTAAGCAGAAGATGCTGGTGTGGGGCCTAAACCCAATTGGCAAGAAGGGATGAGTCAGCTTCTTCACAAATCAGCACCCTCATGGGTTAGGTTAGAGATGGGGGACACCTAAGCTTCTGAAATAGCCACCAAGAGAGAATCCATCTGGGAGAATTGCAAAGCAGCAAGGTTGACCCTGGTAGCCCCCACCTCCAGAATCCTTCAGTTTGAGCTAATAAACATTTTCAGCATTGAAGGTACCCCAGTTGCTTGCAACTGAAGACAGCTGTGAACCCAGAGGGGTTAGACACCTACTAAGAAGGGCTCTTTATGAATAACTGGACTCAAATTTTAGAAAACAGAGCCCAGCAGCCATTTCCGCACAGGGGCCTCTTACACAAACTGCGCTTGCACTAGTCTGCCTACCTACACTGTGTTTTTACCATCTGAGTCAGCTCTTATAAAGGAGTTCCTGGAATCCTGTTTCAACCAATATGACAGGCTTTCTCCATCCAATCAGAGCTGTGTAACTCTGACCAAACAGAGTGGCTCTATTCTGACCAATCAGGACAGTGCTTTTGGAGCAATCAAACTGTGAGGATTTGGAGTCCTCATTTACATAAGGATGAGCCACTCAGGAACTAAGGGTGGGGACTCCTGCCATATAAGCCAGCTTCCCTCTGGCTCAGGGAGAGCACTTTCCCTTTCCACTGAAGACTGGGTTTCCCTAGCTGAGCTGAAACTCCAAATATGTCTCACCAGAGCAGAGCAGAGCTGCCTAGCTGAAGAGAGGCCTGGCTCTGGGATAGTCTCACAGCTGTGTTGTTTTCATAGCCACAGTGCCTCAAATTGAGCTGTTCCAATGCAGTGCTGTTTTCACAGCTATGCTGTATCACTGTTGAGCTGTTTGCACTGAATAAAATTTTCTTCATCACACCCCAAATTGGGGAATCCTGTTGATGTTTGAATTGGTGAGACCATTGGTTAACAGCTGCCATAATAGAAAAAAGAAAGCAACAGCTTGAAAGGATGGGAGTGGGGGAGAAATGATGTTGTGGTTGGGAGGTAGTTACACCCTGCCTTCCCACTCGGTGTCATTGTGTCCCACTGGGCCTCAGTTTCCCCATCTATAAAGTGAAGCAGTAAGGCAACTGCAGCAGTGTGGGTCTGATTCACTTATGAAACCTAAAAATGATGCAGCTTGCCTGACTCCCATACAGTTAATAGGTCTAAGTTGGGGCCTGACCTTATGTTTTTCTACAATTTCACCGGGCTCTGATAGGCTCATGTAAATGGTCTCTGAAGGCCCTTTTATCAGTGCAAGCCACCTCCCTTTGACCAGTGAGCTGGTGGTGAGGTAATTCTTAGTCCTCAGGAACCCTTCCCCCACATCCACTGGACCTATGTTTCAGTTACTCTGCTGACTGCCTATTCACCATGTTACACCTCTTTGGTGTTTACCCTAGCGTCTAAAGACTGACTGTGCTTGGAAACTCAGAATCACACTCTTGTGGTTGAAAGTTAGTAAATCTGAAAGCTCCTTGTCAAATCAGAAGAGTTGTGTGCTCTATTTTTTTCAACCCTTTTTCCAGGGCAAACTGAAAAACAATCTATATCACATCCTGAGCACTGAGTGCCACGCTCTCGATATCAACCAAGGCCTGGGGCTGGGATGTCTCCTGGTGTCAGATTTACCATGTGGTAGCCCCACCCCCACCTCACATGGCCCCTGGTCTCTGCACTTCCTAGTCAGCTGGGGACTTCCCTTCTTTCCACTCTCTATTCTTCATATTTCTGCCCCAGATCTTGGCCTGGCCCTTCACTTTCAGCTCCACACTCTAGGAATGAAGACCCCACTTAGAATAGGACTCTGACAATTAATTGCTCTGAGTCTCAGTTTCCTTATCTGCTAAATTAAGTGAAATTCAAGACATGTGAAGTGCTTAACATATGGCCTGTTGCAGTAAAACTCAGTAGCCTATTATTATTCTGGAACTTCTTTCTGCCTGGTCTCACCAGTGAGTTTCTTCTTATTTATAAGGTCCCAGTTTCCCTCCTGTGGTAGGTCTTCCCAGCCTAGGTTCCTCAGCAGAGCCTCTCTCCTTGCACACACTGCTCTCCTGCTACTCAGCACATTCCTCTTCCTGGGTGACCACCCCCAGCAGATTGGCAGAAAGTTATTCTTATTCATGTCTATGTCCCTAGACAGGAAGGCTCAGTAAATGTAATGATGGATACATTAGAGTGGGGCTTGTTCTCTTCTGGAGCAAGGGAAGTTGGGAGTGAGAGTGGAGCCCCAGCTCAGTAAACATGTGCTTCTGGCCACTCAGGAACAGTGAACCACAACGGTCAGGTACAGGAACATTCGGGTGGGTACCTGAGAGCTATGGCCAGCATCATGGCAGTGCACTCTGCTACTTCAGGAAGAAGATGCAGGTGTCGAATGGTCTGCCTAGAGAATGACAGATATTAAAACAGCATGTTAGCAATGAAAGGGACAAAACAAATGGCACTTGAACCAGTAGCAATGCTGCTTCTAAATGAAATTCACTATAAGGGCCTCCTGGTTTCCTGATGTCAACAAGGAGCTTTGAGACACTCCTTCTCTGCAGCCTTGTGCCCTCTCTAGAAGGCTCCAAGTTACTGCTTCAAATTCTTCTTATACAAAATGAGGTTAAAGGATAGGCTGGGGCCAGATCATTCAGAGTTTATACTGCCAGTGAGGCAGAGTAAGGACAAGACCATTGTCCTGAAAATAATGGGAAGTCATAATGAGGCAACAATGGCAACGTACATGATTAAATCTGGGGCTGAAAATGTCACTCTGCTGTGTGGAAAACAAACAGTAGTGAACAGGCTTGGCCTTAGGGATGAACAACTAGTGCAACTACACAGGGCCCTATTGCTCAGAAGGGCCTTGCATGTAGGACTTAATGCTTTGGCAATTGCCATCTTGAAATTCTTAATATTATCTTTAAATTTGTTTTAAAAGTGAAACTAATGGGACAATGAAGCATGCATCAAGAACTTGGAGCCTTGGCTCATGTATGGTCCTGCCTTCTACCCATCTCCCCTGGATGGGTTCTAAGCTTTCCTCTCCAAGTTCCTGCCTAACAACCACTGCTACCCTCTGTCCCCAGCAGGGATGCAATATCCATGGGGATTGCAATACACCAGTGATGGTGAACCTTTTGAGCTCGGCGTGTCAAAATTTTGAAAAACCCTAACTTAACTCTGGTGCTGTGTCACATATAGAAATATTCATAATTTTTTTTTTTTGTATTTGCAACCATAGTAAAAAAAAGATTTATATTTTTGATATTTATTTTATATATTTAAATGGCATTTAACAAAGAAAAATCAACCAAAAATATGTATAAAATGAACAAAAACAGAAAAACAATGTACATTTAGGAGAAAATAATAATAAAAACAATGATAATCAAATGATACGAAAACTAGAAATTAGTGACTTTTTTGGTGCTGAAGTTTGTCTGCTAATTCTTTGATTGCAGGTTCATACTTTGTGCACTTCAAGGCCAAACAAGCACCACTAACTTCATCTGTTAGCCGGTTTCTTTTGTTCATTTTAATATTATTTAATGCTGAGAACAAAGTCTCACAAAAATATGTTGATGAAAAAATTGTTAGCAAAGCCATCGCTAGATTTTTTATGTCACTAGAAGTGTCAGGCACTCTGTTCCAAGCACTCAAAATTTCTTGTTTGTAGTTGCACTCTTCTTCATTATTCAAACGATTTCGTTCCAGATTTTCAGGTTTCGACCTTAAGTCGACAAACACATGAGTCCAAATGCTACCTTGAAAATCTGCAAGTTGCATCTCTAAATCATCAATTTGCATCCACTGGAAATCCTTTAATTCCAAAGTACTGTAAACAACTACATCCGGATACTTAATTATTTTAATGGTCTGTTCTAGGCTTCTAAATTGGTTGAATCTTTCTTGAATTGTTCAAATAACGAGTTTACTATATTCTGGTACATAAGAATGGACTCCATTACACTCGTTGTAGTGGCCTTCTCGAAATACTTTTTTATCCAAGAAAAATAGTTATAAGTTTTAGTTTCAATATCTCGCTTGAAAATTTT